CGTGATCCGTCCGTCTCGGCCTCCCAAAGTGCTGGGATTACAGGCTTGAGCCACCGTGCCCGGCCGGTGTATCCTTTTAATGCGTAGTTTCAAGTGCCCCCCCCTCCTGTTTTCTGGAGAGTTTTCTTGAATTACAGTTTTTAGTATTCCATTTCACTGCTTTAGTTTTCACCTGTTTTCGAGACAGGGTCTCGGTCTGTTGTCCAGGGTGGAGTCAGCCTTGCCCTCCCAGACTCAAGTGACTTTCCCGCCTCAGCCTCCTGAGTAGCTGGGACCACAGGCACGTGCCACTGTACCTAGTTAATTTTAAAAATATGTTGCAGAGGCAGGGCCTCAGTGCATGTCCAGGCTGATCTTGAATTACTGACCTCAAATAATCCTCCTGCCTCAGCCTCCCAAAGTATTGGGATTACAGGAGTGAGCCACCATGCCTGGCCAGTTTTCATCTTTAGCATCTCCTATTATACATATGTTGGGTCTTCTTTTCCTGTCTTATGTGCTACTTTTTTTTGAGCTTTTTTCATCTCTTTCATTTCTTTTTTTTTCTTGAAAATTTTGTCATTTTGTTTTTCTTAAGGCACCATTGTGTTTATTTGTTCTAAGGTTCTTGTAGTTTAGGCTTCATTTCTGAAGTTATTTTTTCTTTTGTTTCTAATATATTCTGAGTTCTAGTACCTTGTTTCTGAGTTTTTCTAATGCTGGTTTCTGGTTAATGGTATGTTATGTGTTTAGTGTATTTCAGTTTGTTTTTAATTATCAGGATTTTTTTTTTTTTTTTTTTAGTTTTCATCTTTTTGGGGGACATACGTTTCTAGAATGTTTTCATTGTCTGCAGTGATGTTATTTTGCTTCTTATTCTTTTAAGAAATATGTTATTTTTGCATGATATTTGGCCTCAGTACTTTCTGTTGCTCATTTTTATATGACTTTTTCTTTTCTGAATGCTCAGAAGGGAGGCTTGGTTTAGAATCGTTTCTCTAATTTCAGTGTTTTGGGGTTCTTTCCTGTGTTGTTTTTTGAAAGTTTTAAAAATGCAGCAACTGGCCGGGCGCAGTGGCTCAAGCCTGTAATCCCAGCACGTTGGGAGGCCGAGACGGGCGAATCACGAGTTCAGGAGATTGAGACCATCCTGGCTAACCCGGTGAAACCCCGTCTCTACTAAAAAATACAAAAAACTAGCCGGGCGAGGCGGCGGGCACCTGTAGTCCCAGCTACTCCGGAGGCTGAGGCAGGAGAATGGCGTGAGCCCGGGAGGCGGAGCTTGCATTGAGCTGAGATCCGGCCACTGCACTCTGGCCTGGGCGACAGAGTGAGACTCTGTCTCACAAAAAAAAAAAAAAAAAAAAAATGCAGCAACTTATTTTCTCAGCTCTCTAGGCTCTCCCACCTTTCATTAGCTTTCATGTTCCTTGGTCTCTAGTTTCCATGCCCTGCACATTTTGTGTTCAATTCCAGGCCGTTTCTTTTCAATGTGTTTGGCCTAAAAGGGAGCTTTGGATAATGAGTTTTGAGAGGGCTTGGGGTCCAGAACACTTGGGCCTCTGGGTCAGCCCTGCAGGCCTCTGTGTGGGTCTCCTGGTGGATCCGGCAGCTGCTGCTCTCAGCCCGGCTCCTGCTTCCCTCTACTTCCTCCATCCTACGCCCGTGTGCCATGCTGACCTTATGGCTTCCAGTGTCCCCATCTGCTTGTGTTTGGGGTTCTTGAGGAATATCCTGTAACCTCATTCTGTTGGCGGTGTTGACCTGGATTTTGGTTTTGCTATCCTTGGAGCTCCGTGTGTCTGTATGGGAGGATTTAGGGAGATTAAACATCTGTCTTATTCCGTCTTTCTCAGCTGGACTTTTTAGAGGTTCAGTGCTGGTCCCTCTGAGGCTTTGTGTCTCCCCCTCCAGTTATTTGTCATCAGCTCTTTTTTTTGTTAAGGACAATTAATTTATGTTTCCTCAGTTCATCTAATCTTGTGTAAAGTTATAAGGTGGGAATAAAAATACCTTTGTTATTTTATGGATCTTGTATTTGATCACACATTTATGAAAAATATTGCTTTTACTAATAAAGGAAGATTTAAGACAGCACTTGGCTCCTTCTTCCACGAATTGTTATCCCCAAGAAATTCTAGAGCTGAGGCAAGGTGCAGTGACTCACACCTGTAATCCCAGCACCTTGGGAGGCTGAGGCAGGCGGATCACCTGAGCTCGGGAGTTCAAGACTAGCCTGACCAACATGGAGAACCCCCGTCTCTACTAAAAATACAAAGTTAGCTGGGTGTGGTGGTGCATGCCTGTAATCACAGTTATTCAGGAAGCTGAGGCAGGCAAATCACTTGAACCCAGGAGGTGGAGGTTGCGGTAAGCCGAGATCGTGCCATTGCACTCCAGCCTGGGCAACAAGAGCAAAACTCCATCTCAAAAAAAAAAAAAAAAAGAAAAGAAAAAAGAAATTCTAGAGCTGTTGCCATTTAAGCTGTAAAATTTAAACCTAGACAAAGGAGAGGAGGAACTGCATTTTTCATTGGATTTAAGAACATGTGTGAGGCCTGCTTTTGTAATTTCATTCCTGTTGGGACTCGTCCATTAACAAAAGTTGTGGCCGGGCGCGGTGGCTCACACCTGTAATCCCAGCACTTTGGGAGGCCGAGATGGGTGGATCACGAGTTCGGAAGATCGAGACCACCCTGGCTAACATGGTGAAACCCCGCTCTACTGAAAATACAAAAATTAGCCGGGCGCGGTGGTGGGCGCCTGTAGTCCCGGCTACTCGGGAGGCTGAGGCAGGAGAATTGTGTGAACCCAGGAGGCGGAGCTTGCAGTGAGTGAAGATAGCACCACTGCACTCCAGCCTGGGCGACAGAGTGAGACTCTATCTCAAAAAAAAAAAAAACCAGAAGTTGTGAATAGACTCAAGAGTTGAAACCATGTGACCTGAAAACCCCACTTTTCCTTCTGCGATGGGGGTTGTGGTTCGGGACAGTGAATGGACTCTTCCTGATGAAAGGAGCTGTGCTGTACAGAGCTGGGCACAGGGTTTCTGCCCTTAAGAAGTGTATAGTGTAGTTCAGGGAAAACAGTTATGCTGATACCATTTATGTGTCAATCATTAAAATATAAAGCATAATCTGATAAAAAAATATTATGGTCACATTCATTCCTCATTTCAATGACATCCTATTTTGCAGTCCTGTATTTGGATCTGTGTGTCCATAGACCGTAGTTTGAATGATGCAGCCTCATTTTTACTTTGGAAAATAAGTTCTCTTGAGGCCTAATCGGAATGTCACAGGAGCTGGAGGAAAGCCCCTGACTGTGTTTCAGACACTGTGCCAGGCTCGGGGATAGCCCCACCCTGGACAGCACAGTTGTGGACAGGACAGATGGTTCCCCCTTGGTCATGGTGGCACGATGCTGCTCGGGTTCAGGACAGAACCTGAGAGCAGAAAGAAAGCAGAACAGAGGTGCTGCCACTCCGCCACGCCTGTGGGGTAGCAGAAACGGAGTATGGGTTATAGTCTAGATGGAAGCGTGCTGTTGGGAGAGATTTGGGAGGAGAGATGACGTATCACCATGGAGACCAGTGGGGTCAGTGGGAGGGGTTTGGGAGGATTGCAGTCCTGTATTTGGATCTGTGTGGTTCATAGACCGTAGTTTGAATGATGCCTCATTTTACTTTGGAAAATAAGTTCTCTTGAGGCCTAATCGAATGCCTTCTCGCTTCAAGCAGGAGCTGGAGGAAAGCCCTGATCAGGTTTCTTTCAGACACTGTGCCAGGCTTGGGGATAGCCCCACCCTGGACAGCAAGTGGCTGTGCTGTGGACAGGACAGATGGTTCCCCTGGTCATGGCACGATGCTGCTTGGGTTCAGGACAGAACCTGAGAGCAGAAAGAAAGCAGAACAGAGGTGCTGCTACTCCGCCACGCCTGTGGGGTAGCAGAAACGAGCATGGGTTATAGCCTTAGATGGAAGCGTGCTGTTGGGAGAGATTTGGGAGGAGAGATGACGTATCACCATGGAGACCAGTGGGGTCAGTGGGAGGGGTTTGGGAGGAGATGGTATAGAATACCATGAGACCAGTGGGTCAGTGCGAGGGGTTTGGGAGGAGAGATGGTATATCACCATGGAGACCAGTGGGGGTCAGTGGGAGGGGGTGTGGGAGGAGAGATGGTATATCACTGGGTGGAAGCCCAGTGGGGTCAGTGTGAGGGGTGTGGGAGAAGATCACTCATGGAGACTCAGTGGGGTCAGTGGGAGGGGTGTGGGAGGAGAGATGGCATATCACCATGGAGACCAGTGGGGTCAGTGGGAGGGGTTTGGGAGGAGAGATGGCATATCACCATGGAGACCAGTGGGGTCAGTGGGAGGGGTTTGGGAGGAGAGATGGTGTATCACCATGGAGACCAGTGGGGTCAGTGGGAGGGGTTTGGGAGGAGAGATGCCAGGTATCACCATGGAGACCAGTGGGGTCAGTGGGAGGGGTTTGGGAGGAGAGATGGTATATCACCAGCGGAGACCAGTGGGTCAGTGGGAGGGGTTTGGGAGGAGAGATGGTATATCACCATGGAGACCAGTGGTGTGGTGTGGGTGGGATGCTGCTGCTGGGGTGTGGTGAGTGTAGCAGGGCTGAGGCCCCACGGGAGCAGGAAGTGACAGGACGTTTGCTGTAGGCGGTCAGGCCCCACTGGAGACTTGAGCTGGGGGAGAGGATGTTTCCAAGCTGGTGTTGGGAAGGTGGCTTTGGAAGGGCATGAGGAATGCAGTGGAAATGGAGACGCCCTGGGTGTCTTGTCCAGTGGTTAAGGAATGAGGCAGTGGGTGGCGTTTTCAACTATTTGTTAATTTTCAAAGAAACTTACCTTTTGGTGGTTTGAGGCAAGAAGAACCCTGCATGTAAAAATCCACAGACATTCTCGGCCTCTTGCATACATGTGCACGGCTCGTGGTTTTCATCATTTCACATGTGGCGATGGTTAATGTCCTCTCCTCCTCCTTTGCTTCTGTTTGGTAGGTGACCAAAAGCCAGCCCCTCTTCGAGTTGAACTCTTGCGTGTTGACCGGCCACTCTCCTGTGCTCTGGATGATGTCTGAACACGACCTGGCAGATGTGGTTCAGATTGCAGTGGAAGACCTGAGCCCTGACCACCCAGGTACAGAGCTGTGGGACAGTAGGTGAAATATTATTCTCATTATTCTTAAAAAACCAAAAGCTGCTGCAGTTATTTTCTTTTCTTTAAGCAGAAGTCAAAGTAATGCATGCTGTATATGAAAAAGTTTGAATCCTAGAGAGGTGAACACTGTCGGCCCCTCCCTTCCCTCGCCCCTGCAGCCTCAGCCCCAGGTCCCTTCTGGAGGGGGCCCCTGTGACACTTTGTCTCGAGGGCTGTCTCTGCTCCTGCTGCTTGGGTGTATGTGTGTGTTCTACACCCTCTCCCCTGCCCCATCCCTGTGTGCGGCGTCATGGACCCTTACCATGATGTGTGTGTAATCCCCTGTGTGCGGCGTCGTGGACCCTTACCATGATGTGTGTGTAATCCTTTGTGCTGACATCATGGACCCTTACCATGATGTGTGTATAATCCCTGTGTGCGGCATTGTGGACCACCACCATGATGTGTGTGCCTTATGTGTGTAATCCCTGTCCCAATGCACGACGCCAAGTGGACCCTTACCGCGATGATGTGTATGTGTAATCCCTGTGTGCGGCATTGTGGACTACCATGATGTATTGTGTAATCCTGTGTGCGGCATCATGGACCTTACCATGATGTGGCCCCTTAATCCCTGTGTGCGGCATTGTGGACCCTTACCATGATGTGTGTGTAATCCCCTGTGTGCGGCGTCGTGGATCCTTACCATGAGTGTGTAATCCCTGTGTGCCGGCATTGGAATCACTTACCATGATGTGTGTGTGTAATCCCCTGTGTGCGGCGTCGTGGACCCTTACCATGATGTGTATTATTATAATCCACATGTGCGGCATTGGCGAATCCTTACCATGATGTTGTGTAATCCTGTGTGTGCAGCATTGTGAATCTTACCATGATGTGTGTGTAATCCCTGTGTGCGGCGTCATGGACCCCCTTACCACGTGTGTGTGTAATCCCCTGTGTCGGCGTCGTGGATCTTTCTATGATGTGTGTACTCTATCACAATCCTGTGTCTGGCGTCATGGATCCTTACCACGCTTTGATGTGTGTATCCCCCTGTGTGTGCGGTGTCGTGGATCTTACCATGATGTGTGTGTAAGTATACTCTGGTAGCAGCTCACAGCAGAATTCATTCACAGGTGCCCCCTCACAGTTGACTTTTCCCTTTCAGGGGGGCTTTTCTATGATGTGTGTGTAATCCCTGTGTGCGGCGTCATGGATCCTTACCATGATGTGTGTGTAATCCCCTGTGTGCGGTGTCGTGGATCCTTACCATGATGTGTGTGTAAGTCTGCTCTGTTAGCAGCTCCGCAGAATTCATTCACAGGTGCCCCCTCCACAGTTGACTTTTCCCTTCCAGGGGGCTCCTGGCATAGTCTGTCTGATTTTTGCTTTATACACAACCCTATAGGGAAGATCCTTGCATATGTATCTTGGCAAATAGAGAAGTTCCCAGAAGTAAAATTGCTACGTGTGTTTAAAATTTTGTTAAGACACTGAGAGGTTCTCTAGAAATGTTTTATTAATTCTTCCACTGACGGTGCTTGAGAACACGTTTTTTTCTACACCTTTGCTAAGGCTGGTAATTTTTAAAAATGATGTTAAAGGCACATGTCTACTTTGAAATAATAGACTTGTTTAAAGGAGACCCTTGAGAAATGAAACCTTAAATTTCAGGAACTTCATCTCTTCATCTGTGAAAACACTTTGTCCACACTTATTGTTTTAAAGAGATTTCTTCTTCTTCTTCTTTTTTTTTTTTTTTTCTGTAAAGTGGTATGTGTTTTATTGTTCTGTTAAGTTTGAAGTGACAAGCCCACCACAGTTAAGTCACTGAGTGTTTCGGTTGCTTGGTTATTCTTTCAGGAATGTTCGAATCGAAAGGCTGACAATTTATTCCTCCAGAAGAGAGAATTTTCAGAACTCTCATAAGGAAGTCTGATGTCCGTTCCTATGATCTGTTTGCTCTGTTAGTCGAGAAAACTACATGTGGAGACTAGTTGTAGTCTGGAAGGGGAAGGCAATAGAAATAGTTTTGGGGTGAGGTGAGCAGTCCCAGGGGAACATGAAGACAGCATTTCGGGAGTGCTGTTGGTTAGTTTTCCACACGATCACTGCACATTATTTTACAAATCCCTGTTTCTAGTTTAGAAGGCAAATGACAGTTTCTTTAGAAAACATACACTGTAATCTTGTAAAAGAAAACTGTTCCAGTTACATAATTTCCGGTGATTTCAGAACCATTAAAGTTCTGACAGCCTACTTCCCCAATAAATCTCTCTTTGTAGACTGTGGCCCAAAAAAAGCTTAGAGAAATAATTTCGAATCTTGATTTTGTTCCATCTGTGTTCCTTAAATGCCTGAGAACTATGATTTCTTGAGTATTTGTTAAAAGCCTACTGTGCGCAGAGCTCCTTGGCCTGCCCAGTACCAAGCCTGCAGTCTGGACCCAGGAGAAGGTGTGCACAGCTGCAGGTACCTTGGTGTGTCACGCATGTTTGCATTCATTGTGGGTTTAAAGTACTTTCCTCATCTCGAAAGTATACATCTAATAAAGTTTAACACGATAGTCAAGAAAGTAGAAGAAATAAAAATTTCCCATAATCCTACTGGTTGTAGCAGCTTTTAAATTGTTGACGTGTATGTCTTTCCAATTTCTCCTTATTTTTATTTAAAAGAAAGACTTCTAGGATCATCTGACCTGATGTGTACCGACCATGGCTTGTGCTAACTCTACCTGTCTGAATGCAAAAATTGTGACTTGCATAAGGCCTGTCATTGCAGTTGATTGTGATGTCTTTATTTATTTATTTGTTTATTTAAGACAGAGTTTTGCTGTGTCGCCAGGCTGGAGTACAGTGGCATGATCTTGGCTCACTGCAACCTCTGTCTCCTGGATTCAAGCGATTCTCCTGCCTCAGCCTCCCGAGTAGCTGGGATTACAGGCGCCTGCCACCATGACCGGCTAATTTTTGTATTTTCAGTAGAGACAGGGCTGGTCTCGAACTCCTGACCTCAGGTGATCCACTCACCTCGGCCTCCCAAAGTGCTGGGATTAGAGGCGTGAGCCACTGCACCCAGCCTGATGGTGATATTTTAAAAATGAACAAGGAGTTATTTTAATTCTAAAAGTAATGCATACAAAATTATAAAAAGCAACACATACGAAAAGCAGCAAAGTACAAAGAAGAAAATAAATGTCACTTGCTGTCCCATTACCTGTGGAGTCATTGCTGGAGTTACTGCATGCCTGTCTGCTGCCCTTATGACGAAACTAGCTGTGTGACCCCAGAGAAGTCCCGTAACCTTTCTGGACTTGTTTTCTTCTCAACAAACTAAAAAGTTAGAGTAATAAGTGCAAGGGTCTCTCTCTGTTCTTCCAGGCCTGGTGTGATGACCAGTTTCCAGTGAGAGTAAAGAGCCTTTGACTGAGGTCCTGAGAACCTTTGACTAACCACAGGCACTTGCGGGCATGGAGTTTGAAAAGTTTCATTACGTGAGAATTCATCTGCAAAGGCTTAGGTGGTGATGGTTGACGCGCTCCCTGCGTCTGAGGAGTCCTGAGGCCGAAGGCAGGGCCATGTGCTGCTTGTGAGCTGGCAGTAGTCCTTGGCTTTGGATAATTTCCCACTGGGTAGATCAGATTTGACTGCTTTTGCCTAGGACCTGTGAGAGGTTCCTGTTAGAACTGTGGGACAATTCTGCATCTTTACGTTTCAGAGTTTTGAGCGGAATCATCTAGTGTGTACAGGCTTAAAGGTATGGACATTCTTTTTGTTTTCCTGTTAAGATCTTCTTCGGAATGTCAATCTATGTAATTCCGCGGGGAGTTGCTTTGGTGGAGGTGGAGGCAGGGACCAGAGAGGCCTGTGCACTTGGCTTTCCTCTAGCACCTGGAGAATCTGAATGCCAGCCAGGAGTGCTTCACCCACATCCGTGGGCAGCCTTGCGTGTAAGGTGCTGGGAGGGTGGTCTGCTCTGGGGTGGGTGCTGTCACCTCGTTGGTGCCACAGTATAAAAGTATAAACAGGTGTGAGCTGAGGCTCTTCCAGGAATGGCTTCCCGAACAAGGTGGCATTTGAGTGGGGCTGGACAGAAGGTGCTTAGATTTCCCTGGTGGAGACGGCTGGAGGGTTGGTAGTATGGGAAGGGCTGGGGCACAGTCCACACCAGCAGAGTGGGGCGGGTGTCATCTGGCCACAGTGAGGTCATCCTGCTTGGCTGTGACGTGGGTGCCTTGAAAGCAGATGGTGTGCCAAAGGTGTGCATGTGCTCTAGGGTATTCCCAGTGGCCTCATTCAGATTTCTGATTTTTTTCTACCAGGAGCGTTACAGTAAGCATGCTCATATGTATGCATGTATATAGCATCTATTCGTATATACTGGCATTCATTTTTGTAAATAGTCACACACTGGTATTACTGTTAAAAACTGAAAGCTATTAATATTATAACCTGGATAGTTCCAGCTACTCAGGGGCTGAGGTGGAGGGTCCCTTGAGTACAGGAGTTTGAGTCCAGCCTGGGTGACATAGCAAGACCTCATCTCTTAAAAAACAAAAACAAACAAACAAAAAAGAAAGATTAATATTAACCCAGAGTCCATGTTTGTTGCTCAGTGAAGAGGAAGGCTGCAGACAAACCTGTTGATGAGGTAGGTGGTCTCGCGCCTCCCACATGTGTGCCGTTTGTTTATCTTGATGTGTGAGCGTGTAGAATAGAGCACGGTGGGAATGCACTAGACACTTCACACTGTCATTTCAGGCAAGGAAATGAGAAGAAAAAAACACTCACGGCACAATCTATAATCTTTAGCAAGAACTGTTGACCTTTTAAACTTCTGTCTATAACTGCAAATATGTAAATTTTTAAAAATTGATTAGGTCAAAGGAAAAGAGAGGACTAGAAGGGTGACAGACAGACATGGTTTGCAGAGATGAGGCAGTTGTGGCCGATTTTGGTCTTTGATTTTGAGGTTATCTTTGACTTTGTTTTTGTAGTCAATTTTAGACAAAAGGAAGGAGGTTGGGACCGGACTGTGGCCGCCCTGAGCTGGGGCCGAGTTGCTTATCCTGTGGGAAGCCGTGGCGATCACCTGAGGCTGGCTGTATGATGGGGGCAGCTGGTCTCAGCTGTGCTGGGAGGGTTGGGGTTCTGTCACTTAGTGTGTTCAGGTTGAGACTGTTTTGATTATTAGCACCTATGATGATGTGATATTCAGTGTTGTTTTTCCCCTTTCAGTTCTGGACCTGCAGTTAGAGTGGCTTTGAGTTTGGAATGAGGTGACCAACAGATACAACTTTATTTTAAAGTGGGGAAGAAATCATTATTATCGACTGGGTTTTATCAAACCAAACAGGGCAGCCCCATAGAGCACTGAGTCAGAAGCTTGCAGATTTGGAGTTAGGATTGACTCAGTGGCACATTAATTGCCCAGTGTCTGGGCTTTTCTTGGGATTAAGGAGTTATCCTATTTTCTGCCTGACTGAGAATAAGTTTAAAAAGGCAAAATATGAAATAGGGTCTGCTATTTCTCATTCAACCTTAAGGTGTCAGCGCTGTTTACTATCTTAATGTTAAAATAATTCTGTAAAACTTTTCATGTTAAACATTTTTTTCTCTGTCACCGATTTCAGTTGTTTTGGAGAATCATGTAGTGACAGATGAAGACGAACCTGCTTTGAAACGCCAGCGACTAGAAATCAATTGCCAGGATCCGTCTATAAAGGTAAAAATCTGACTGTGTTCTGTAATGTGTAGTGCACTGCAGATTTCAAGGGTTGCTGTAACAAATCACCATCAACGGGATGGCCTAAAAATGTAGCCTCTCAGCGGTGGAGGCCAGAGATCAAAACCAAGATGCGGGCAGGCTCTGGCTCCCTCCAAAGGTTCTAGAAGGTGGATCCTTCCTGCCTCTTCCAGCTTCTAGTGGCTCTGGGCCTCCCCCACCTTGTGGGGCTCCTTCCAGCCTCTACCTTCCACTTCATGTTGCTGCCGCCTTTGTGTGTCTGTGACTGTTTCCCCTTCTTCCTCTAGTAAGGACTTGTCATTGAATTTAAGGCCCACCCTAATCCAGGTTGATCTCATTGACTAAATTACATCTGCACAGACCCAAAGAGTTTCTAAATTACATCTAAATTACATCTGCACAGTTTCCAAAGAGACCACATGGGTAGGTTCTAGCGGTTAGGATGTGGATGTACATTTTAGGATGTGGCCATTATCACCAGGCAGCCCACTACAGAAGAGTGTGAGCCATTTTTTTCTCTTGAAGAGCACGAAGAGTAAGAATTGTTTACCTTGAGATACTGCTGAAGGAGGCATCTTCCCACACACCTGCAGGCCCATTTTGGGTGGAAGGAAAGTGAACTTTCTACCAGTGATGAATGACTTCTGTGTCTGCCATTTAAGTCACTTAGATTCTAAAGTTTACTAGATGGGGTTCTTCAGAACCGCTCGTTCCGTTAATTATTTTTGGATCTTTGAATTTGCTTGATTGGTTCCAGTGTTTGCAGAGTCACAGAGGTAAATACCAGCACGTGTGAGAAGTTTACGAGAGCAACACAAAACCAAAGTCACTTTTCATGTAATTCCTCTACCTACACAGGGTTTCTACTTGGTCATATTTAATTTGTTTTGTTAACAAGGAGAAGCAGTGTAAATGTGTATGAAAAACTTAAAAATAAGTTCACAGTAAAATGCCCGTTTCCAACCAGTCGATAGGATGTGGCTCTGTTAGTAAACACTGCGTTTTCATCCCCTAAATAAATACAGTTGTAATTTTATCGCAGAAGACACACCTGTTACGCCCAGCACAGGAAATATATAAAGTGGGCATGGAAGCGGCCCTGCCTTTGTCCTTGTCCCACTGTTGAGAAGAGGTTGGGCCTCCGGTTGAATGCGACCTGCGTAGAGTCATGTGTGGCTCTAGGTTGTTTTATTAGCATATAAGAGTGATTTTCCCCCAAACCCCAGGCAGAATCATTTGTAGTTCAGAATTAAAATAATGTGGGCGCACTGTTCAAAGAATTTGAGAGCTGAACATTTGATGTTCTCCAGTTGGTGAAAATAGTGGGGTTGTCAGTGGCCATTCAGGGATTCAGCCACCCATTGTTGCTTTTCAAGACGACGCATGTTTGTCATGCCATGGACCGTGCTCATTTGTAGGTAAGCTGACTGAGTGTCATCCGTGGGCTTGGGTCCACCTGACACCGAGGCTCCTTCCCTCTGTCACACGGGCCTTCAGTGTCATTCCAACAGAGAGTAGTCAGTCAGGGAGGGTGAATTTCACTTGGTTTCTTTAGCTCCTGTCTATATCAGCGCCTAGTGGTGAATGTTGCCAGGAGAGGTGGTGACCTGAGAAAAGGTGAGTTGTTGGGCAGTATGTGGATTTTCCCTCCTGCAGTGCTGTCCCTGCCACTATGTACACCAGGTTTCCATGCCAGCTTACATGATGTTTGATATCACTGTAATTTTGATATTCTGCAGGTTCCCTTTAGATCAGAAAGGAGAGTGGGCGTAAGCAGTCCTGTAGGTCAGCCGCAGTTAGTGGGAAAGCCGTTCCAGCTCCAGGGGGCCGGCCTCCCGCTCCCCTGTGAGTGTGGGCCGGCCTCCCGCTCCCCTGCGTGCAAGCTCCACAGCCAGCTCTCAGTGGCTTCCGCAGTGCCGCCCCTGCTCTCCCGCGCCTACCTCCCTCTTCCTTCTGATGTGTGCACCTTGGGCCCCACACTCTTTACATGGGCAGAAAAGGAGAGAGAAAAGACGAAACCCAAATTCTGTGGTATTTTCAGCTATTGATTCTTAAGGCAGGTGCCAGCCTTCCTGACTACTAAGCAGGGCTGGTGGGCACTCGCCTGACTTGCCCCTCCCTAGCCCCGAAGGAGTGTCCTTCTGTCTGCCAGTGAGACCTGGTGGAGGGTGTCTCTTTTGCCCAGTGAATTCCTGCGTGATTAACACGTTTCCACATGTGGTCCTGGCGGCTCCTGGTGGGGACGGCAGTTGGGGAAATGAACTTCTTCCCTTTCTGCGTTGTATGTTTCTCTGTTTCTTGGGTTTGGAGTCTGACACACCACTGCTCACAGTGGTTACTTGGAGTTAGGGATCCGGAGGAGACTCGGCCGGAAAGGTCAGACGTGGAGCCCGGCTTTGCCGACCACTAGGTGGCGAGCTTGCCGCTCAGGAGCCCCACGGGAGCCTCAGGACCGAATCCGTCAGGGCCACGGGATCCAGTCACCATTTCCGATTAGGCAGCGGGGTGTGATGTGAATGTGCATGGCCTGTGGCTTTTACGCTGTTTTGATGTTAGGTGTAATCTGTTTTTATTGTTGAGAAGATTTGACTAGTTTTTGTGTCAATTTACTGATTTATAATAACATATTAAAGTACATACTTTTAAAAAATTAAGTGGACTTAACTAAGAATTGCAACTGCACATAGAAGTGAAACCATGATGAAATCATCACATTTCAAACAGGACGTGTGACTCGTGTGTAAAGTGGGAACTCGTTACTCTCATGCTTCTGGCTCGTAGCTAACGAGCCAGTTCCAGTGTGGAGATTGTCCTGTCCGAATAGATGGAGTTGAGATCAGGAAATAGCTGTTCGGTGTTTCTTGGGGTTGTCTTCTTACAGTTCAGGAGACCCTTCCTAAAGCCGGTCTTTTTTCACTTCTAGTCATTCCTGTATTCCATCAACCAGACAATCTGCTTGCGGCTGGATAGCATTGAAGCCAAGTTGCAGGCCCTGGAGGCCACTTGTAAATCCTTAGAGGAAAAGCTGGATCTGGTCACGAACAAGCAGCACAGCCCCATCCAGGTTCCCATGGTGGCCGGCTCCCCTCTTGGGGCAACCCAGACGTGCAACAAAGTGCGATGGTAAGAACAGACCAGGGTGCCGGGGCCTTCAGGTCACTTGGGGAGAAGCGGGTCACCTCCTGGCCCAGGCCCGCAGCTTAGTAGCTCAGTTTGCTGGAGATGCGCGGTGTCTGCCTTAGCAGTCTCTGTCTAAAGCTGAGTTTAGTTAGACCGAAACCGAACATGTGGCCTCCTGCCAGGACGACCTGAAGTCATCCTCACGTGTCCTTTCCACAAAAAGCAGACGCATGCACCTTTTCTTTGGAACGAACCCACCCAATCTTAGAAGATGTATATGTGCTTCTTTCCTTTTTCCTACTCTACCTGGCTAGTCTTTAGATACGTTTTTCTTCATATGTGGTGTTTATACATTTCACATGACTATACCAAACTTTCCGTTCAAGCTTGCAGTTTTTATTTTGCTTATTTTTAAAAGGTAGAGTCTAATCTTGGAAAGCTGTGTGGTAGTTTGTGAACTGCTTGAGTAGAACCTTTATAATGTCTTAGAAAGTCTCAGAGCTGCTTGGTGTCCACTCATCCAAGGCTTCTTGTCAGATGCTCCAGCTGGCAACTTGTGCTGAAGCTCAGGCTCTGGCTTTGCTAGCCTTCCCCACACCTGGCCAGAAAGAAGTCCTGCTTAAGGCCGTGGACACGGCATGGCTTTGTGCTTGACGAGGGGCCTTTTGACTGAGCGCTCTCTTCAGGTTCCCTGGTCTGGCCGCAGCCTTCTGCCCGGTGTGTCTGGGAGGAGAGAGAATGATGGAATGGCAGCGGTGGGGCCGGGGAGGACATGTGGATGCCGAGGAATGGGAGCCGCAGCAAGCCTGGAGAGACTGTTGTGACCTTGCCGCCCATGTGTGCTGGCGGCTGGCGCTGGGTTAGGTGCTTTGTGGACCTTGCCAGGGAGTGTGGGAAGGGAGAGCAGGGGCTCCTTGGCTGGCTGGGCGTGGGATGTTCATGAACATACCCTAGTACTGAGGTAGCTGGCTGTCCTGGCTTGTCTGGGGGCAGCTCCAGATGATGGCTGCTGTGCTAGCTGAAGCATTGGTGCCTGTTGGAACTCTCAGGCGTGCCGGGGGTTTTGGAAACGCTACCCCGCCCTCCAAGCTCCGCTGCTGGCGGTGGAATTGGCATTTCAGTTCGCGGGCGGGAGGTGGGGAGCGTTCGTGTGCTCCTCTGAGACGGGGCCTTCACCCTGCACATATGCTGTCACTCGCGTTTCTCCCCCAGCAGGAGTTTGTTTACCGTGTCCTCTGTGCAGGGATGCTGTTGGGCTCTCAGGTCAGCTGTGCAAAGCTGTTGGACGCAATGCCTTTTTTAAAAGGATAGTTTTTTGGGGTAATGTCCTCTTACTCTAAAATGCAGTGTTTAGAAAATATAACTTACGTCTCAAAAAAGAAAAAAGAAAATGTAATTTATAACTTAAAATTAATAGACTGCCCTAGCTATAGAGAATAAATGTGATAGTATTGTGTGATAACACAACACTTTTCAACATGGTGATGGTCGGCCGTGAAAAAGCCAGACGTCCCACCTGGTGTGTTGCGTCCTGGTGTTTGGGGGGTGGTCCCTGCAGACGAACCCAGGTGTGACACTGGGAGTTCAGCCCCCAGCTGGTGATGGAATGTTACAGAATAGTGAGCAGTTGCTAATGAACTTTCAAATAAAGCAAACTATAAATTTTTCTAGACTTATGTAATAGTTGAATTCATGGAAAATTCAAGTCATAGTAAGACCGTGCAAAAATGTTTTGTGTGTAAATGTTGAATAGAGTAAGTTTCTGAGTTCAGAGAGTTAGAAGCCTGTTTTCCACTCGTGAAGTTCTGGTTCATTGTAAGTCTTGTGCGTGGAGAGTTTTTGTTGGGTGAGACTGTCTCACTCATTGAAGGGCGTCTCAACCTCCCTTACCTCTGCCTGCCAAATTCCAGTACTCTCTGGATCTTGACCACCAAATATGTCCCACGGGATCTCAAAGCACCCCTGGGCTGCATCGAGAACCATTGTTCTAAGGAATTAAACACAAGGATGAACAAACCTCTCCTGTCCCCAGAGCCTTGTGTGCCGGAGGATGGCTGGCCATCACGTGTCACTTGTCACTTTGTGCCAGTGCTGGGCAGGTCATTATCACCACTTGGGAAAAGTGTTGACAAAATCAATGGTTAGATTCCACCACTGACGATGTGTGATGGGGAGAGAAGTTCCTGTGTGAAGAACTCCAAAGGCTGGAGTGTCTTTTCTGTCGTGGGTTGGCCTTGAGGGTGCCTTGTTTGGATTCCATCTGCATGGGGTGGAGCTCAGGCCTCTGGCTGGTACAGTTGCCCTGACGGACACTGGGGTGACCTTGGCCAAGTGACGCATTCATTTCCATCTGAGTTTCTAGTTTCCTCATCTTTAAAAAGAAGATGAGGGGGCCGGGCGCGGTGGCTCAAGCCTGTAATCCCAGCACTTTGGGAGGCCGAGACGGGCGGATCACGAGGTCAGGAGATCGAGACCATCCTGGCTAACACGGTGAAACCCCGTCTTTACTAAAAAATACAAAAAACTAGCCGGGCGAGGTGGTCCTGTAGTCCCAGGTACTCGGGAGGCTGAGGCAGGAGAATGGCGTAAACCCGGGAGGCGGAGCTTGCGGTGAGCAGAGATCCGGCCACTGCACTCCAGCCTGGGCGACAGAGCGAGACTCCGTCTCAAAAAAAAAAAAAAAAAAAAAAAAAGCTGAGAGGAAGAGGACCTGGAGCTCCTCTGGGGCTGCTCCAGCCCAGGATCCTCCTGCTTTCTGAGGGTAGCAGTGTCTGTGCTCACGAAAACACGTCCATGGGGCGGATGTTAGCCACAGACCTGCCATGGCAGAGATCCCCCGTGCTTCTCTCTGCGTTTTAGCCACAGACCTGCCATGGCAGAAATCCCCCGTGCTTCTCTCTGTGTGTCAACAAGCAGTGAAATAAGAGTAACGTTGCCTAATACTGACTCAGATGCACAATCCAGTTAACCCAGATGTGTGAGATCTTCTGGTTTGAAAGCACGGTATTGGCAAGGCAAAATCAACCTATTGTAGAATATATTTTTTGTATATCAGCATGGGGGTTATTAATATTGCTAATAAAACCATTATTTGTAAAAATTAAGATTAATAGAAGAATCGTTCTTCTATTTTCTCATAGCTTTAAATAGGATAAAAATATATTCTATTTAAAATCCTATTTAAAATATATCCTATGCAAAATCACAAGAAAATGGAGGAATGGTTTCCTTTTTTTTTGAGACTCTGCTCTGTCACCCAGGCTGGAGTGCAGTGGTGTGATCTTGGCTCACTGCAACCTCTGCTTCCCAGGTTCAAGCAATTCTCCTGCCTCAGCCTCCCAAGTAGCTGGGATTACAGGCATGCACCACACTGCCTGCCTAATTTTTGTAATTTTAGAAGAGACAGGGTTTCACCACGTTAGCCAGGCTGATCTTGAACTCCTGACCTTAGGTGATCCACCCTCCTTGGCCTCCCAAAGTGCTGGGATTACAGGCGTGAGCCACCATGCCTGGTGGAAAGTTTTAAATGTGGTATATTTGAATGACTTTTAAAGAAGGAGGCTGGGTGCGATGGCTCACACCTATAATTCCAGCACTTTGGAAGGCCAAGATGGAAGGATCACTTGAACCCAGGAGTTCCAGACCAGCGTGGGCAACATAGTGAGACTCCCATCTCTACAAAAAAATATAAAAATTAGCTTGGCACAGTGGCACCCGCCTATAATCCCTTAGGAGGCTGAGGTGGGAGGATTGCTTGAGCCTGGGAGGGTGAGACTACGGTGAGCTGTGACTGTGCCACTGCACTCCAGGCTGAGCGAGGCCCTAACTCAAAAAAACAAAAAAACAAAAAAACAAAAAAAACAAAAACAAAAAGGGTGTTATTAAGTCTGGCATTTCTTTCCATATAAGTTCTTTTTAAAAGATAGTCTCACTCTGTCATGCAGGCTGGAGTACAGTGGTGCAATCTCGGCTCACTGCAATCTCTCCCTCCCGGGTTCAAGCGATTCTCCCACCTCAGCCTCCCGAGTAGCTGGAACTATAGGTGCATGCTACTGTGCCTGGCTAAGTTTTGTATTTTTTGATAGAGATGGGGTTTTGCCATGTTGGCCAGGCTGGTATCTTTCCATATAAGTCCTGAAAATTAGAAATAAAAATTGCCAATAGTTGAGAGCTGTTGACAGAAAATTGTGGGAGAGAAGTAGCAGATAAGAACTTAATCCCATTATGTCAATGAAAAAAAGTATGTTTAAATTAGAAAGTTACTAATTTGTAAACACATATGAGTGAATGAGAATTGTCTGTCTAAAATGTGGGCAGTGGAACTTTGAAAAGGAAAAGTCTCCAAACAAAGTTAAAAATTGGTTAGCATTCCAAATAATAAGGTGCTTCTATGGATTATTTATTTTGGGACTCAGATATATATATATATATTTTTTGAGACGGAGTCTCGCTCTGTCGCCCAGGCTGGAGTGCAGTGGCCGGATCTCAGCTCACTGCAAGCTCCGCCTCCCAGGTTTAGGCCATTCTCCTGCCTCAGCCTCCTGAGTACCTGGGACTACAGGCGCCCGTCACCTCGCCCGGCTAATTTTTTGTATTTTTTAGTAGAGATGGGGTTTCACCGTGTTAGCCAGGATGGTCTCGATCTCCTGACCTCGTGATCTGCCCGTCTCGGCCTCCCAAAGTGCTGGGATTACAGGCTTGAGCCACCCCGCCTGGCCCATGGTATTTTGAGATGGGAGTCTCACTGTGTCGCCCAGGCTGGAGTGCAATGGGCATGATCTCGGCTCGCTGCAACCTCTGCCTCCTGGGTTCAAGCGATTCTCCTGCCTCAGCCTCCTGAGTAGCTGGGATTACAGGCACATGCCACCACGCCTGGCTAAATTTTTTTTTTTTTAAATTAGAAATGGGGTTTTACCATGTTGGCCAGGCTGGTCTCGAACTCCTGACCTCGTGATCCGCCCGCCTCGGCCTCCCAAAGTGCTGGGATTACAGGTGTGAGCCAC